TTGGCCTCTGGGGCCTGGGTTCAAATTCCAACTCCTCTCCTTACTTGACTCCAAGGATTCTACATGCCCCATGCCTGGGACAAGGGACATCTCCAAAGTCACCAATGTGGCTAGATGATGGGAAGTCCAATGAAACCCACAGATTCCCTTCTCAGAATTTATATATATATATATATATTTCTTTTTAGAGACAGGGTCTTGCTCTGTTGCCCAGGCTAAAGTGCAGTGGTGCCATCGTAGCTCACTGTAGCCTCGAACTCTTGAGCTCTAACGATCCTCCTTCCTCAGCCTTCCGGGCTGACTACATCCTTTCATTGACGCCCGCAGCAGCTCCTTGAAGCAGGTGCTATTATTTCTCCATTTTATGGACTAGAAAACCAAGTTCCAGAGAGTGAAAATGACTGGCCCTAGGTCATACAGCAAGGAAGTGGTATAGCCTGAATGTGAACTGTCATGTTTCAGACCCCAAAGTTTCTGTTCTGAGCCCCTAGGCTGAGCTGCACTTTGAAACCCCTCCCCAAAGCCCATCTTTCCCCTTTATTCATTTCCGGCTTGTTAGCACAGGGTTAATCGCCCACACAGCCGACGACGGAATCATTTGTTCCTTCCCCTCCCATCTGCAGAGCGTCAAACTCCTTTCCACTCGGGAGACTGGCTGTTGACTCCTTTAGAAGTTTTGTTTTTCCGATACCAATCTCTTCTCCCAGACTACGCCTTCGACAGCCAGGAATGGGAAGGAGAGGAATGCACACGTGCACAGAAAAGGCACAGAAGGGTCGAGCCTGCCTTAGTTCCCTCCGGGTGTCTCGACAGAGGTGGCTTCCTTCCATTAGTCCCAAACCTTTGCAGCCTGGCACCTCCAGGCACGCTACAGTCTGGCTCTGCGCAAACACCCCTCCTAATATTTGCTGTGGGGCCGCTAGGAGGGGCAGGTCCCCAAACAGGCGATGAGCTCAGGACATGGGCATCGCCACACCTGCTCCCGTCCCGGAGGAGGGGAGGCTGCACAGCCACTGACAGCATAGCCTTATTTTGAGCTTGAATCTTCCGTGCATACTTGCGCGCGGGCAGGAGGGCAGACGGGGGCCAGACCAAAGCTGATGGCCTGTGACTTGCAGGAAGAAGTATACTTTCCATCACGACCTGTAGTGTGCGGGCGCGCAAACACACACACACACACACACACACACAATTGAAATGAAAGTTTCATGGATCTGTACTTACCTTTTATTTTTATTTTTTGAGACAGAAGCTCTCTCTGTCGCCCAGGCAAGAGTGCTGTGGTGTCATCATAGCTCACTGCAGCTTCAAACTCCTGAGCTTAAGCAATCTTGCCTCAGCCTCCTGAATAGCTGGGACTACAGGCATGTGCCACCATGCTTGGCTAATTTTTCTATTGTTTTTATAGAGAGAGTGTCTCATTATGTTGCTAAGGCTGGTCTCGAACTCCTGGCCTCAAGCAATCCTCCTGCCTTGGCCTCCCAAAGTGCTGGGATAACAGTGTGAGCCACCGTGCCTGGCTCCCATACTTGCCTTTTTATGAATAACACATGCTGATTTCCAATCTATTCTATTCTATTCTGGTCCAGTCTATTTTATTATTTCATTTAAAAGTGCTAGTCATTACCCATGAAACAGATTTCAAAGCCCCCAAATGCAGGAGTTCGCAGTCCGGGTCTGGGAACTTGCACAGGACAAAACTCTTTATTTGCCCTGACCTCTGGCTGGAACATAGCACTTCCGTCAGTTATGAATTTGGGCAACATGTCATAGTAGTATCGACAGTTCCAGTGACGTCCTCACAAACCGCCCCCACGGATTGTTTTGTATCTCATTGCAGCTGCCGCAGGTGTCTGGAAATAGACCTCAAAATTATGGTAGTTACTGGGCTCACTGCTGGATCTTGTTATTTAATTTGTTAATAAAGAAGCACATATGCTACTATATCACATCTAAGAATTATTTTGATCATTGCATTTCAGCAGAATTTGTTCCTGTTGTAAGCCTGTGTATTTTATTTTATGGACTTCAAAGTATTATCCTGAGAAGGAGGCCCATGGATTCTATCTGACTTGCAAGGGGGTCCACAGTACACAAAGTTCGAGAACCCCTGCCTGGCCCAGTGGGTCCCAATACACAGTTCACGAAACGCTACCCCATGCTGAAAGCTCCCGGGGGGCAGAGCTCCGGAGTCTTTAACCTGGAGCCCAGCACAGAAATCACGTCGATGGCCAATGTTTATGTAGCACTTGCCGTGCCAGCTTCGGTACTAGACCCTCTGCACGGATCGTTTCTGTTAATCTTTGTACCAGCTCTGGTGAGATGGGTACTATTTTCAGCCCCATGCCTCTCTCTGTCTCTTTACCCAACTTCATTTTTCTTCTTAGCACCAGAACTGTCACATATTTTTATCTGTTTATTGGCAGCCTCCCCCACTAGGGTGTGTGTCTCTTGAAGGCAAGGATTTGCCTTGCTCGGTGCCACCTCCCCAGAGTATCAAAATATGCAAGATTTAAGGCGATGCCAAAAACTCAGGAGTCAAGATAAAGACTATTTCACTGCAATATTTTAAAAATTCAAAATGAATGCCAAAAATCCATGATGAAAAAAAAATCAAAATTTCGAATAGAGACGGGATCCAACCCTGCACTTGTACAACGCTGCCTCGATCTCCTCACCCTATCCCTGGCCCTAAAGGGCTTGATACACAAGGGGTGCTGACGCGGATTAGCCTCATTCCGCAGATGGAGACTGAGGCACGGAGGCTGGCGTCCTCCCTGATGCCAGTAACTAGCAAGTGGAGGAGTCGGAATTTTGAACTCAGCTGTCTAGTTCCAGACCTGGCTCTTTTAAACCCTGCACCACCCAGCCTGAAGAATTATCCTGCTTAATCCTTTTGGCAGAGGCAGCAGCCTGGTGAAATCAGATAGATTTGGGTTAAAATCCCAGTATTGCCACTTCCTAGCTGGGTGACCTTGGACTAGTCATCTCAATACTCTGAGCTTTAGTTCCCTCAGCTGCAAAATGCAGATGATAACGTCTTGGCCAGGTGCAGTGGCTCACACCTGTAATTCTAGCACTCTGGGAGGCCAAGGCGGGTGGATTGCTCGAGGTAAGCAGTTCGAAACCAGCTTGAGCAAGAGTGAGACCCTGTCTCTACTATATATAGAAAGAAAGTAATTGGCCAACTAATACATATAGAAAAAATTAGCCAGGCATGGTGGTGCATGCCTGTAGTCCTAGCTACTTGGGAGGCTGAGGCAGGAGGATCGCTTGACCCCAGGAGTTTGAGGTTGCTGTGAGCTAGGCTGATGCCACAGCACTCACTCTAGTCTGGGCAACAAAGAGACACTCTGTCTCAAAAAAAAAAAAAAAGAAAGAAACACAGTGGGAAATCACTTCATTTATGCAGACATTTATTTATTTATTCATTCCACATTCAACAAATTATTTATGGAGGACCTACTATGTGCCTGGCAGGCATACTTCCAGGCACCAGAGGCCCCACGGTGAACAAAACCTACACAAATTCATGCCCTTGTGGAATTTACATGGTATAGGAGGGAGAGAAACAACAAAACAAACAAACAAACAAACAAATAAATAAAATAGAGCATGTCAGGAGGAAACAAAGAGAAAACAAAGAAAAACAAAGCAGAGAAAGAATGGAGTGTGTGAGTGTGATAGTGGGCGTGTGTGTGTGAGCATGTGTGGCTGCTATAGGGTCGTCACATGAAGGGGTTGTTGAGGAGGTGACACCTGGAGGAGGTGACACCTGGAGGAGGTGACACCTGGAGGAGGTGACACCTGGAGGAGGTGACGGGTAAGCCATGGGGCCAGCCTGGAAGAGATGTTCCAGTGTGGGGGGGCCAGGCGGGGCAAAGGCCTTGGGGTGGGCGTGCGCCTGGCGTGCTGGGAAAGTGATGGTGGCAGTGTGGCTGGGGCGAGTACAGGAGGGAATGGCTCATAAGACAGGCAATCCAAGAGTGCAGGGGGACCAGAAGGCAGTCAGCCACGGAGGGCACGTTTGGGGAACAGGGAGGAGGCCGGTGACGTCGCAGTGGAGCACCCTCGGCGACACAGGCAGAGCTGAAACAAAGAGGCGGGCAGGAGCCAGTGGAGGTGGGGATGTGCAGACCCGGCCAAGGACTTTGGGTTGTATTTCACACGTGTCGGGAAGGCTTTGCAAGGTCTCCGCAGTGAAGTGACACGATCAGACTGACAGTTGGGCAGGGCCCTTCTGGCCACTGAGTTGAGAAGAGTCTGAAAGGTCAAGGGCAAAAGAGCCCAGCCTAGAAGCTGACGCAATAACAGAGCAATAGACAATGGCGGTGTGGCCCGCAGCCGCCGTAGCGGACGTCGAGAAATACAGATCCCAGATCTGTATTGATGGCAGAGCCCGGAGGAACTGCCAACAGGCCATTCATTTCAGCACTGTTGTTTTTTTGAGACAGAGTCTCGCTTTGTTGCCCAGGCTAGAGTGAGTGCCGTGGCGTCAGCCTAGCTCACAGCAACCTCAAACTCCTGGGCTCAAGCAATCCTTCTGCCTCAGCCTCCCGAATAGCTGGGACTACAGGCATGCACCACCATGCCCGGCTAATTTTTTCTATATATATTAGTTGGCCAATTAATTTCTTTCTATTTATAGTAGAGACGGGGGTCCTGCTCTTGCTCAGGCTGGTTTCAAACTCCTGACCTCAAGCAATCCGCCCGCCTAGGCCTCCCAGAGTGCTAGGATTACAGGCGTGAGCCACTGCACCCGGCCTCAGAGTGGGAGCTTTGATCCATGAACACAGCATGCGGTGGGTTACGACTGGCTTGCATATCGGGGGTAACAAGACGGGTACATTTTCGCACCCTCCCCCTTCGGGGGGAACAGAAAAAGCCCGCGCTGCCCTCTAGGTCCCCGGGCTCCCAGATTCAGGTCCCCTTTTGGCTCTTCACACCCTGCCTCCCTGTGCCCTCCAGGAAATAAAACAAACGTCACCAAGCTTGTTTTCTCCATACCTTTTATTGAACTCTGCAGACTTCATTAAGGGACCATTTGCTTAGAAATTCTTAAACATTTGGACGTATTTTACAAGACAGGACAGCAGCTGGAGGTCACACAAGGATCACAATTTCATCTCACTACATGCATAAAAGACACTGGGTTTTTTGTTGTTTGGTTTCTGTGTGTGTGCGTGTGTGTGTGCGTGTGTACGCGTGCACACGTAATGCTCATTTTCACCTTTACAGGAAGGACTAGAGACGTCAACTGACGAGAGATGAACAAGACCCATGAACACGCCCCCGAGAAAAAAGCGGCTGAGGACATTGGTCATTTATGGCTAATGTGGTTGGCTCGGCCCCCATCAAGGGTGGGGTGATCAGAATGGCTTTGCTGGCAGAAAAGCCCCAACCTCACACCACGGGTTCCTGGGAGAGACAGGGCCTAAGCTGACGGGATCAGGGCACATACTGTCATGGGGGTCCTCGGGGCTCAGAAGAAAGGAGACCACTGGCCCTAAAAGCTGGAGGACAGGCGGGCCCTCGTATGCAGCTGGGCTCCCACGGCTCAGGGAATGCAATCCAGTTTCCAGATGCTGGCTCCAAAGTTCCTGCCCCAGCAAGCCCCAGACCAAGGGAAGCCCGGACTTTGGACTGTTCACTTAGCCCACTGGAAAGCCACTTGGTGGTCTCCCCATGGGCCACGTGTGAGCTAAACTAGAACATGAGCCGGAACAATGCAGGGCAGGGGAGTAGGAAGGAGGCGGGGCTGTCCCACGGGCCCCAGAAGTGTGGCTCTGAGCAGGCCTGCAAGTGTCAAATTTGGGTGTCACCTTGGCCCCAGATTGAGTCAAAGAACAGATGGCGCTGATGGAGCAGTTATGGGCTTCAGTGGGAGAGGGGTGCCCCCTTTCTCCTCCCCTCCCAGCGAGCGGCACCGCAAGCCAGGTGAGAACTCACAAGTCCCCTGTTCACCACACAGCCACCTGTTCCCTCAGAGGCCATTCTCACATCCGCTCACTCAGAAAACACAGGCCGGACGACCACTATGTGCCAAGGGCATGCATTGGGGATGACCCTGAATTTCTGGTGCAGAAACGGGGTTCCCAGCTCTAGACCTTGGACTGAAATCAAAATAGATGTGGAGAGCAAAGTGGCTAGCTGCCCGGCCCAGCGGCCACGGGTCCCTCTCGTCCCCTGCACTCAGGCACACCCAGCTCTCCGATGTCCAGCTCATCCAGGAGGGAGCCCCAAACCCTAGTGGAGCTAGGGGGCCATGAGCCAAGCCACGGAGAAGACAGGGTTTTTTGGGTCTCTTCTCCTGTGCTACCACCTTCTTTCCAAACCTGGTTCAGCTCATGGAAGCAGGATGTGCAGGAGGATCCATGCATGTCCTTGCGGGCATTCCGATGGGACGGGATGGGGAGTGTCCTACATTTTCACGGACTGTCCAATACCCTTTGCGTTATTGCAGCTTGAGCTATGTCTGCAGGCCAGAGCTTCTAGAGGGGGAATCTTGGAAACTGAGTTTTGTTTTATTTTGGTTTTGGAAGAAGGCAGTTGCCCGGTCTGCCCATCCAAACACATCATCCCACCAAACCTCATAATAAAACCACCCAGACCACCTGGACTTGGCTTCACCCTGAAGTTGAAGGGTTTGAGGTTCCTCCAAACCCACCACACACAAAACCGCTCTCGTCAAATGCTTCCCTTGGAGGATGCAGGATCCGGGCTGATGTGGGGAGGATGTCACAGACGTGGGTGAGTGGACGTTCTGCTTGGAGGCAGCCAAAGCCTTGCTTTGCTGTGAAACTGGATTATGGCTGCCTCTCCCTTTTGGCCTTTTGGGATTTACTTCATGGCTGGGGACTTTCAAAGGTCTTGAATGGAATCTCCTATTTTATTTACCAGAAAAAAAAAAAAAAAGCCCTTTTGGAATGGTGCCATTCACTATGGCCTGGGCAGTTGTTCACTGGGCTGGCTAATGGGTAACAGATAATTGCGTCTCTTGTACAGAAAGCCTCAGGCTCCTGAGGGCGCAGGGTCTGGGCAGAAGGGCTAGAGCACCGAAGGACAGCCAGCGGGCGATCGGGGCTTCGTGGATTGCTCTTTGGCTGGCCTGGGAAGCAAGAGTCTCAGTCCAGTGTGGTGCCCGGTCAGTCACTGGGGATGATTTCAATAGGGAGAGGGCCATTAAAATTTTCCAAGACAAGGTTCTGGGAGGAAGGAGGGTGTCCTGCTGCCACCCCGACTCTTGGGTACCCCCTCTGACAGCTGCAAAGCCTGGAAGTGGGGTTCCTTACTGTGCTCCACACCTTTGTCTCAGTGGCTGAGCCTGTGCCCAGAATGTCCAAAGCCTCCCCCACCCCCCACCCACAAACACACACCCCAAGAAACAAAGGGGGAGAATTTCCTTGTTCAGTCCAGTTTCCATGCGATTCTAGGGACCCTGTGCAATGCCCATTTTGTACATCCTCTAGCCTCTCTTTAAACACCTGCAGTATAAGGAAGTTCCACTGGGTTCGATGTTTGACTTGGGCTTCTTTAATTTGAGCTGAAATTGTCAATTTCAGCCAGCCTGCAGCTGGGTGGTTTCTTCCTTAGGTGAACTGTCTTGCTCCACCCCATCCTGGCCAGCCTTTATATATGTTCAGGATCTTAGCAGAAAGAGATGGAGAGTCAGGGTTAGAGGTGAAGATGAGGGTTCCCTCGATTAACAGAGCCCCCTCCAAATTCAAGTTGGCATTTGGGGAAGTTCAGGAGAAATTCCAGGTTAAGATACAATCAGGAACAGTGGATGGAAACCCAAACTATGTAACCTCTTTCTTGATAAGAATAGCCACAAGCAAGGGTGTTTGCTTGTCTGGACATCAAACTTAGGAAGTTACTGGGAGACAATTTTTTTTGGTTTTGTTGCTCTTGCACAAAAGTTTTAAAAAATCTTGTCTGTATTATGTGGCTCTGGTTCAATCCAGATTACCAGGAATTTGGGGGGTGGGAAAACTCTGATTAGGGTCATAGTCCAGAATAATAAATTCTTATTTGGGGTGGATTCCTCTTGAGAGTTATTTGATGGGGGATGGTTCACCGCCACCTGGGGGTCTTGGTTTGGCTCAGATCTCTGGTTCTGGGCAGAGCCCAGAGCCCTACAGCTGTCGGGGAGGCAGTTGGGACACCAAAACTGAAATGAGTGCAAGTTGGAGATTATCTGGCCTTTCTTCATCTTCCTGTGTGAGTTGATGGATGGAGAATCGCTTTCTGCTGAAGATACTGGTTAGTGAGATGTCCTCTGCCCACCCGAGGCTGAAAACCGCCTTGTGGAATTAATTATCAGGACAGTCCGAAAACGCCCCAAGGCTTGGACAGGTGGGAGCTATAAAAGTACAACTGTCTTTGCCACACATCGCTTGCTCTGTGGAGCTAGGCAGCTCCACAGGAAAAGGGAGGGGAGATGAGCTAGCAGATTCTGGGGACATCTTTTCTCAGGGCTTGGCTGCCAGGGTGTCTGGCCATTGTTTTTTGGTGAAGCTGTTAGGAATGGATTGAAATGAGGAGCTGATAAGAAGTCAATGAGATCTGAGGCCCAGCATATTCTTCTGAGGTTTGCAAGAACCTGAAAAAGCTCTGGCCTTTCTATCTGATTGATGTTACAGATCTACAGGGTGCCGGACATGGGAACAGCCCAGCCAAAAGGAACTTGGGTGGGTTCTAGGTCTCAGAAATGGCAGCGGGAAGTTCGCTTGCATGAGATTTTTGGTTTCAAGATCTCCAGGGATGAGAAAGCTCAGTCCCTTCAGATCCCTGGGGGGGAGTGGGGTATGAGCTGAGCCAGCCCACATGCAGGCTGCTCTGGAGGGCCATCTGGAGCCCTGCTTCCCTTGCTCTCCCACCTGCATTCACGCCCTGGATTCTTAAGCACAACGAATAGGAGAAACACACAGACCGAATGAGGAAAGTACGGCATCCACAGACCCTAGGCCCAGCGTCAGGAAATGCCTGCACAAGGAAGTCAGACCCCAAAGACCCCAGTAGGGGTCAGACCCCAGTAGTCTCTCCCTACTCCCAAGAAATCAGAATCAAAAGGAAGAAAAGAAAAAAAAAACAGCCCAAGGGACAATGGGAGAAAATGAAAAAGACCAGAGAATATCAAAGCTACGAGAATGACCGACAATGAAACTCCTAAGACAGTATTCTGTATTACAAAAGAAGAAATTAGACTCGATTGCCCTATTATAAATTTGCTAAAAATACATGTATATATATATATTTATCTGAACAGAAAAATAGACTACTCTGAGAGATGCGTGGACATCCTGTGACGTAGTCGCGCATCAGATACTTCTAGAGCCAAAAAAAATGGCAACAGAAAATGCAGAGGTAACTCTTATTTCTGGGTGTGGCCAGGGCTGGTTTGGGCCGCCTGGGCTGAGTGACGGGGAAGCACTGGGATGCTGTCCTTCCTGCAGGCAGTGGTGGGTGAGGAGACACCAGCTCGGGAGGAAACACCAGCTCGGGAGCCCTCTTCTTCCTTTTGCCCACTTGGCAGCTGCAGAAAAAGTCCATTCCCAGAGGCGGGTGTCCTGGGGGGCTGTTTGCCTGGCCCTCCTTGATTCCAAGTTTCTTGACTTGAGACCGAAAAGCCTGGGGTTATGTTACTCGAGACTAGTTGGCAGAGAAATAAGGAAAGGAGAGAGATAGAGACCTGGCTTTGGTGGCCCTTGTCCGTGGTGAATTTTAAACATCCCCTTGTCCGTGGACACTCCAGCCTAGTAACTGGAGCAAGACAGAAATATACAGTAGTTACAAATATCAACAATACATTACAGTTTTACAGAAGAGAATACTGTTTTGTTTTTCTCCGTAGAAACACGGATCTTATTATTAGGAGAAAGGGCAGCTACAGTTACCAAGACACAGTGGAGAAGTTGTTGGGAGTCAGTTCACAAAAGTTCGCGTCACCAGCCGTGCTCGGGGGCAAGCTGGGGGAGTTGAAGGGAAATGACCTTCTCGGGATTTTTGCTGTGTCCCCTTCTTACTCTTCTTCTTCTTCATTCTTCATCCCCAGTCCTTTTGAGAAAGGGACTTCACAGGAACAAACGTTCTCTCCTCTTTTTTCTTCCCCTTTAAAGTGTGCTTAAGATAGAATTCCTAAAGAAGGCACTGCGAAATCTACTGCACCAAAGTCCTGTTGTTTTCTTTTGCCCAAAGATAAAGAGGTGAACACACTCTCTCCTGCAAAGCTTGCCCACCTCGCCCGCCACGGGTTGCAGACTCTCGCCCAGGTGATTGGGACACATAGCTACCTGGTCCCTAGCCCTTTCTGATAATGGTGGAAGTTGGAACTCAAGTTCGGCTGGGTTCTTGATGAGTTTCCTTGAATTCGCCAAAGTGGCCAGCATCCATTCACCTCCAGTTCTCCCCATATCATTTGTTTGGGTGGATTTGTTTCTTTCTGCTTTCGTTGGTTGAGGAAAGGGTGGGAAATGAACCACCAAGTCAAAGCAGTATTTGCCTCCAAACCATTGCTTTCCTCTTCTCTTTCAAGGCCTGTCTGTCAAGTTTACTTCTCAGTGGAGACCCATAGGTAGATTTCCCAGTGCGTGTACATACATGTACCTAGGTACAGGTTGGGTATATACGTGTTACAAACCTGGGTATGTTCCCTTTTGGGTGGATGGGGGCTGGGAAAACGTAACAATATTCTATTTTGAATTGAGCACAGGGTAAAAGCTACATTCCCACGATACATACACGCATAAGTTAGAGGAAAAAAAAAAAACAAAACCAAACAAAACCAAACCAAAACGGATACTTTCTAAGCATAGTATATGCTGAATTTCAATTATTCTGTTTCTATAAGAACTCTATAGGACTCTGGCTATTAAGCCTGAAAAGGTAGGTTCTTAATGATACTTCTGAATTCGTCCTTCAAAAGTGACTCAATAAAATGCTACTTTAAGGTCAAAGTACACAAGGAAGGAAGGGCCAGGCCCTACACGACCACACAAGGCAGAAAGGGCCTTTGGTTACAAGGAGAGTTGCACCAATTGGTTATTAGTTTTTTAATAAAAAGAAAGAATTTCCAATCTGTACACTTCTCATCTGCTTCAACCAACAAATGAAATGCCTCGATTTGAAGAAGGGGTGGTAAGTTCCTTCTCACTATATATGGCTATATTTAAACATATTCACTTTCCTGATATGTAAAATAGACTATATATTATTATCGTTATTAATTTTTACAGATAGCATCAGCTCTAAAAATATCTGAATCAGAAATCACAACTATTTACTTTTATCAAAAAGCATTTGTTTGTTTTCCCTGAATTTTCACATTTGTGCTGATGGCGGACGCTGACGGTGATGAAAACGAGAGATACACGGGACGGCCGGCGGGGAAGCGTTCCGCGGTAGCTGCTCAGGAGGCCCCAGCCCAGACTGTGCGCTCGGCACAGCGTTCCCTCCTTCTGGAAGAGCCGCTGCTCCCTCCCTCGGGCGTGCCAGCTGGCACAGGTGATCTCACACTCTCCGTGCCCCTGAGTCCCTTCGCATTTGTTGTGCAGGTATCTGACGATACCTAAGAACAGGACTGAACCCTCCTGGGGGATCCACAGTCCCTGGAGATGCTGAGAAGTGGTATGAACTGGATTTGTATACAGCAGAGAACAAGCATTTGTGATGGTGGTGGAATGACCCCGTGTCATCATACCTGTGACAGGTGGCCCAATCTCATGCCATTATACAGAGGGCAGGCAGAACAACTCCACGATATTTGTGTGCTAACAGGTGGATCATGCCGTTGTACCAATAGGCAGACCAGCAGCAGATGATATTGAGAACAGGTGAACCAACAGCATGTCCTTGTTCCATGGGGAAGACATATGCCTGCTCCTGTATTGAGGATAGGCAGACCTACACTATTGTACTTGGGACATCATCCATCAACATGATAAGGAGACCAACATTGTTCCATCGTACTGCAGACAAGCAGACCGATAACATGTTATCTTTACTGACAGATGAGCCAACACCATAGCATTGTATCAATCAGTGGTTCAACCCAATGTCACTGTACTGCCAACAACACCATGCTGTTGGACCAAAAGCAGGCAGGACAGTGCCAGCTCATCAAACTAGGACAGGAAGACCAACATCAAGAAAAACACCAGAACCGCTCAGGATGCACACACATACTTATTGCTTTTGTCTGTACCGGCTGCATTGATGGCTGCAGGAAGGAGAGTTGAGCTTTTTTTGTACAGACAGTGACACTAAAAACACACCAATGGCTGGTTGACAAGAAAAGGAACAGAGTAAGACACCCAATGTCCAACTGTCACTGTCCTTCTGAGATGTGCATGTCTCCTGTACATTTGACTTTATGAGAGGCCCCACCCAAGGGCCAAGAACCCCTCCTGACCCATGAGGGTTAAGGGGATGCTTCAGAGGGACAGGAAAGGAGCCCAAAGACTTTTATATGGCAGACAGTGATGCCAGCACAATCTCACCCACCGTGGCCAGAAACAGGCTTGTAGCAACAACCCAACTACAGTCCCAACAAGTGGCCCACGGAAATAATGCTTGTTTTAAAGTGCAAGATGTTGACACTGTCCCTGGTAGAACCTATTTTTTAAAAACATAAAGTGCTTTTTATTTTAATTTTTTTTTTTTTAGCTTGAAAACCACAGGAAACAAAGAAGAATTTCTATTATAGTAGGCGCTTTCCCTGCCATAGCAGGAAGTACTCAAAGTCTGAACTGGGCATTTCAATTATGGGTATTTTTTTTCCTTTCATTTTCGCAGGTAAAAAAAAAAAAATCAGATTTTTATGCTGTTCTTTAGGAACACACAGTCTCTTTGAATAAGCTATTTCTTTTGCATATTTGACACTTGCATATCTTTTGAGTCTACACTAGTGATATACAGAAAGCGTTTTCCTCCTACAACCCTAAAGCAACACTCCGAGTTCATACTGTTGGCTGAGTGCCCGCCTTCTGACCCCTTCCCAGATCGCCAGGGGGCAATTAGAATTGAGTACAAGTGGTGCAACTCACCTATGATATCTCAAAATATAAAATCTCAGGTACTATGGAACACCGAAGTCAATGAAGACATTTGAGTAAGAGTTTTGCGCTGGGATCATTGCTTGTGGCGCAGAGATTTCCCTGTGACACAAGCATTCTCTGTAGCCTTCTGACGGTGGGATCCATCCAGGACGTGATGGGCAGGTGTTCCTAGAGGTGGCCGGGCAACACCCAATACCAAACTGGTCAACCCACTCTTTCGACACCAGCCTCTTGTTCCGGCACCCTTCTCCAGCTGAAGTCGGGAGGGATGGAAACGCTGCCCTCCCAGGCTGTGACGGAAAGCCATCCGAGAAGGTTGGGGAGTAGGTGGCCTCGGTTATGTCCAGAATGGTGGTAGTGGTGGCTGCGAGTTCTGCTCATGTCATCTCCCAAAGAGGGCAATAGAATTGTTACAGGGAGGTGCTGTGCCCTATGGCTTGGCCAACTTCATGCTGAGGAATCTGTCATGGCTCTCAAGGTCCTAGGGAGCCTTCTCTGGGGTCTCTCTTCTGTCTGGGGGCTTTGCAGGGCCTTTCTGTTTCAGAGTTCATGAAGAAAAGCTCTGTGGCTCTTCTGAACAGCCCTCCTCTTTGGATCTTGCCCCAAAGTCTCTCCTCCACGGCGGGGCAGGTCAGAGGCCCTGATCCTGCGTGCTGCTGTGGGCCCCTGGCCCCGGCAGCACGCGGACGTCGGGGGAGATGTGGTTCTCAAGTTTGCACTTCTCCTGACCACTGGGGCCTTTTCCAGTCAATGCTTCTGTAGAGTAAATACAGTTCTGCCTTAAGAACTTAGGGGAGGTGGGTAAGGGGGAGCTTTCAAAGTGGTTCTTGTCTGATCTTGTCCCGACACTGAACTTGGGGCTGGTGCTCCCGTGGAGGCTTTTGGGCGGGCTGGAGTCCACACTGTAGAGCAGCTGCCCCTCCTCGTCTGTGTCTGCGTCAATGTACTGGTGGATTCCCGCCTCGAAGCTGAATGCTATTGCTGTGTGTTTCTCGGGTGACCGGGGGGGTGTCCTAGCACTTGCTGTGGTGTAGATGGAGGACTCTGGGCTCAGCACAGGCTTGTCCAAGAGTGTGGCACACTCCAGCCCAGCAACAGCAGCTGTAGCACCCCCCCGGTTCCTAAGGGGGTCATGGTACATCCCCAGAGTGGGGAGTAATGGACTGGGGTCGCCCTCCATGAAGTTGACTTTAAGTGCTCGGAGCTTCAGGGGGTTGTTGGTCTTCATGGAACTCTTGGGGCTCTCGATGAAGAAACTAGAGTGATGGCTGGCATCGGGGGTGGGGTTGGCCTCTATGAACCTCCCACCACTGGCACCCAGAGCTCCCCGCCAGCCCACCTCTGGGGCCATGCTGCCCCCAGTCTTGCTGGGGAGTGATGTCAAAGGGCTGTGGGAGAATCTGGTGGCTTCAGGGAAGTCTGTGGCACAACTAATGAAGCTATCGATGCTCGACATACTTCGCATGTCAATGACCCCTTCTGTGCGAGTGGGCAGAGGGGCTACAGGGCTGGGGATACTCTCCATTTCAAGCTCTTCCTTTGGTTTGCTCTGTGTTGCTGACTCCTTGGTATTGAGGATGGGCTGGGATTGGGTCTTGGCCATCTTATTGTACATGTCTTCCAACTGCTGAACGTTCAGGTGCTGAGGACTAGACGATGATCTGGCCTTCTCGGGGGATCCCTGCTCCTTGGTTTCAAAGGACTTACTTGAGCTGGTTTCAGACAGTGTCCTCTTTGTCCATTTCCATTTGTTGGGAGACAAGTGGTTATCTTGCACTTTATCCTTCTTACTCATACTCTCCCCATTTTTCTCAACCACGATGTCCATCATCTCGATGCTCCGGGCGAAAGCATCCTTCATGTTCATGGACACGATGCTGCCGTTCCGCTTGGCTCTCTCCAGAGCCTCCCTTCGCTTGATTGCTTTCTCCTGCCTCTTCTGCTCCTTATAGAACTCAGAGAAGTTATTGACGATGATGGGGATGGGGAGAGCAATCACCAGGACTCCCGCGATGCAGCAGAGCCCCCCAACAATTTTCCCCAGGAGAGTCTTGGGGTAGATGTCTCCATACCCAACGGTCGTCATGGTGATGGTGGCCCACCAGAAAGAGGCCGGGATGCTTTTGAACTTGGTGTCATCCTCATCCTTCTCGGCAAAGAAGACAAGGCTGGAGAAGATCATGATGCCCATGGCGAGGAAGAGGATGAGCAAGCCCAGCTCGTTGTAGCTCCTCCGCAGAGTGAAGCCCAAAGACTGGAGGCCGGTGGAGTGGCGCGCAAGCTTAAGGATTCGGAGAATACGCATGATGCGGAAGATCTGGACCACCCGGCGGACGTTCTGGAACTGCAGCACGCTCTTGTTGGATTCGGTGAGGAAGATGGTGACGTAGTATGGCAGGATGGCCAACAAGTCAATGGCGTTGAGCGGGCCCTTGAAGAACTTCCACTTCTTGGGCGAGGAGAGGAACCGCAGCAGGTATTCCATGGTGAACCAGGCAATGCACACGGCCTCCACGTGGGCCAGCTGCGGATTGTCCGTGGTCTGGCCGAACTCATCCAGGCTCTGCAGCTCGGGCAGGGTGTTGAGGGACAGGGCAATGGTGGAGAGGACGATGAACATGATGGAGATTATGGCGAGGATCTGTGAGAAGAAGAGAGTGGGATTTAGTGATCAGCCACCAGCGGATGACCGTCGTAGCACCCTGGGTCTACAGAGCATGTCTCAGTGTTCGGGAGCATTTTCACGTCTCGCTAGTCACTTAATGACTGAATGTTTGAGCTAAAAAGATGATTTATCCACACCCATATTGTCTGGGTATGGAAACTGGGGCCCAGAGAACTGAAATGATTTAAAGCTACTCAGCAAGCCCGGGGTCAGCAAACTTACAGAGGGCCAGAGAGAAACTACTTTAGGCTTTGAGGCCCATGTACCCTCCGTTGCCACTTCTTGACTCTGCATTGAGAGCATCAAAGAAACCTTGGAGAATGCAAGAACAAATGGGCACAACTGTGTTTCAATAAAACTTTATTTACAAAAACAGGCAGTGGACTAAATTTGACCTGTGGGCCATGGTTTGCTGACTCTAGATCTAAACCAGTGGTTCATACTATTATGGGATGGGGTGCTACTTTCATGACAGTGATACTAATAATAACAATAGCTACCTGTCAAGAAGAGGGCTTAGCCTAGACATAGGGCTCAGTGGATATTTGTTGAAATTAATGGAATCTAGGCTAATCTCAGACTATGCAGAAAAGCAAGTAGATGCAATAAATTACTCTGAGGGTCTTTTTTCAAAAAATACAAATCCAATCACGTTACTTCTAGCTTAATAAATCTCCAGGACTCCTCAGGACTAAATGAAACCCCCTAAACCCTCCATATGCCTGTCTTTGTTTTAGAGACTTGCCTGTCCTCTTCCCCTGCCCCTGAAGGGGCTTGGGGACTGGTCACTGTGTTTGTACCATCCGATCCTGGCTGCTCCTGATCGGCCCAGGGTTGGAAGGAAAATCCAGGCTGAGCCAATCTGTATGCTAGGTTCAGCCAACCCACCTTTGAGAATTTGAACTCAGGGATCCAGGGGGCGAGTGGGTTATGGAAAGGTGAGTCCCTGAATTAAATGGTCAAGGAGAATCTGGGCTTGAACCAGCTCCATGATAAGGCCAAACCCCAAGCAAGTGTCTCCCAAGTTGCAGGAGACAGAGAGGCCATAAAAAACATCAGAAAGCTGAACCTCCGAGAGAAGCCAGAGAAGGAAGGGAAGAGGCAAAGGGCAGGTGCAATGAGGACACAGGAAGGTCCTGAGAGGGTGCACAGGGCGTCAGCCTGCTTTGAGTTCAAGCCCCAGCTGAGCCACTTCCTTACTGTGAGCAAGTTATCTAACCTCTCTAAGCCTCGCTTTCCTTATCTGCAAAATGGGATAATAACAACAGTGTCTACTTCAGAGAAGTGCTGTGAAGATTAAATGTGTTAACACATGCCAAGTGCTTAGGACAGATTCCAGCAGCACACAGAGAGTGTCTAATAGGTGCCAGCTATCATCACAGCAGAAATATTGCAGCCCACACCACCCTGTCAGCCCAGACCACCCAGCCAGCCTTGGAGTGACCCAGTTGGACTTTGCTTCCTGCCCCGTCTGAGACTGCTGTTGTCTCCTGTAAGTAAAGCCAGTTGCCGCGTGGCTGAGTGTGGGGCTTCCGGCACCTGCGATGTCCCTAGCAAAGACACATCATTGTTGAGCCCCTCTCATTTTGACTCTGACCCCTCTCTCTGGCCTTTCCTGCCCCAGGTGCCCAAACTACATACTTCTCTGGCCACACGCTGTGGTTGGGCAACTCTGCAAGTCGGAGCCTCTTTCTATCTGTTGGTGAATTCCAATCCATCTTGTAAAACCCAGCCCAAGTGGCTCCTTCCCTCTGAAGTGTCCCTGCTCTCCCCAGGCAGGGCTGGCTGCTCCACCCTCGGGGCTCCCTCATCATTCTGCCATACCTTGGGGATACTTACCACATATATTCCATTATGGGTGCACATGCATGTGCACGTGTGCCAATTTTGCCCACAATCCGTAAGCGTTGTGGGAACAGGGTTCAGTTCTGAGGTTTATCTGCCTGGCCCCAGCACCTCGCCCAGGGCATGACACCTGACAGGTGCTCCCAGTGTTTGTGGGCTATTGAGTAAGTTGACGGAGCGATAATTGGAAGGGCCAGAACCAGAATTCGCTTTTCAATTTGGCAAATATTTATTGATCATCTACTACATGTGAGGCACTTTGCATGACACGGGGATAGCACAGGTTGCAAGAGACTCTGATGCCTTTATAGGCCAGCTGTGAAGACAAAAGGGACTGATGGATGGTGCAGTTTCCCCAACTTCAGTTGCTCTACTGACGTCTTAGTCTTTTTGCTATAGTCGTATCTGACACGGATAAAGAGTAGCTTTTGAGTCTTAGTTTCTTGATTTACACTCATTTGAAAGAAATTCTGTAATCACTTTCTAAAATGAAATATTTGATACATACAAAGGTAGACCTGACTTATATATAATTTATGAACCATAATCAAGTGAATACCAGTGAACCCATTACCCAAGTCCAAGAACGGTGGCAGTACACTGATACTTCCCGAGTGTTTTTCCCACTCCAGAAAAAAACCTTTGTGTTGATTTTTTTTATCCCTCTGCTTCTGTATAGTTGTCAATACGAATATATGTGTCCCTAAAGAAACTATTGTTTTGTTTTGCTCAGTTTTGACATCATACTGTATCTATTCTGCTACTTGTACCACTCTTTCCTTGCTGGTTAAAACAAAAACCAAAAAGCCCACTCACCTTATTTTAGCCTTATCCTAAGAAACAACATGCAAAACCTCTGATTTTTTGTGCTAGGGGTATTCAAAATAGATATGTGATTATTGGAATAAAACACTTCGGCAGCACGGCTTTTTGGGGCTCCTGTGTTGAGGTGAGGAGTGTGCTTCCTGGATCTGGAATCCCAGCTCTGCCGTGCATTGGCCGAGTGGCCTTGGGCATCAAATCTTCCCTTGCCTCAGTTTCCTTATTTGTAAAATGAAGATATACCTGTGGTGTTTAATGGGATGATTTGACCCCTGGGGACACGTGGCAATTTCTGCAGAAATTTTTGGTTGTTATGACTTGGGGGAGGGGTGCTCCTGGCATCCAGCACGTTGAGGTCACAGATGCTGCTAAACATCCCACATGCACAGGACAGCCCCCCAAAGCAGTGAATTGTCCCCCCAAAACATCAATAATACCAAGGCTGAGAAACTCTGGGATATGCCAACAGTTAGACCCTCACTAGTTGGGGAGCAGGGGACACACAGTAGGGCAGATCTTACAGGGCAGCCCGCGGGCCTTAGGCTGAATCTCACAGGAAGCTGCGCCAGTCTCGTTCCAGGAAGTCTGTTTCTTTAAGAACTGGGACATCCTGTTTCCCCCCCCGAGGCTGGCAGGGGAAGCCTGCTCCAGCTCCTAACCCCCGGACAACTCCAGGGAAGGCCCACATAATTGATGTTCTGCTGACAAACGCATGAATTATGCACCCAGCTATTGTACAGTCCTTGGTGCCTGTTGTTCTAAGGCAGGCACCCCCTTTGTACCTGAGAATGGGCCTCCCCTCCCCTCCCCTCTGCCCGAGGATGCCCAGGAAAGGAGAAAAGGGGAGCAGGGGCCCCACTGGATCCTGAGGGGGTGGTATCTGCTGCTCAGGGTTGGGTTGGGAGGGTCAGAGTGCACCGGGCCTCCATCTCCTTGCACCAAATGGCACGTGTATAATACAGCACCGGGGGGTGGGGGGGCTGCCCCACGCCTCCTGGCCCTGCTTATAAGAATATTTCCTCTTCCAGATCCCATAGACTCTATGAGCCCCATAGAGTCAGGGCCACACTTCGAGCCTGGGAAACTTCCTAACACCAACTAAACTCTCTGTGCCTCAGTTTCCCCATCTATAAGACAGGGGATCATTGCAAGACTGAGCATTCAATGAGTTCATAAGGCCCTTAATTCGTGGCACAGTAACTCTTCACTTTTATTGTTTTTATTATTCCACAGCTTTACATTGAATTATAAGCTGGTTTTGAACTTGGGTCGAATCCAGTGCTATTATTTCCCAGCTATGTGGCCTTGGACAAGTCACTTCCCCTCTCTGAGCCACCATTTCCTTTCTCTAAAGTGGAGACAAGGCTGGGTGTGGTGGCTCCCAGCACTTTGGGAGGCTGAGGCGGGAGGATCACTTGAGGCCAGGAGTTTGAGACCAGCTTGAGCAACATAGTGAGACCCTGTCTTTACAAAAAATAAAAATTTAAAACATTTAAAAAAAATGGAGATGAAAGTAATTAAGCACTTAGCACATAACAGCCACTTAATATACATTGTTACTAAATTATCAGTTGGGCGATTTAGTGTCAGCCCCACTCCCAGCCCCTGGACTAGCTGCTTCTAGGGCTATTTCTATGGACTAGGGCTAGGTCTATGGACCCTCTGTGACTGGCCAAGGCAGCAGGTGTCCTCTAAACAGCTCTTGAGCCCAGATGGACAGTGTCGATCAGGTCTCTGGGACAGGCTCCAGGAGTGGGGGACAAGCCACCACCCGGGAGCCCTCCTGGCCCCAGTTCAGGCCCGATGGGGCCTCTGCTTTTCTGGGATCTGAGCCCAATCAGGTTTGGGCAGAACTCCAGGAACCCAGGGAGCAGAGGCGGGAGCCAGCGCCAGGGACTCAGAGGCTGTCCCCAAATTCCCTCCCTGCAAGGAGGCTCCAGATCCTGGAGTCCACCTGTCTGCACCAAGTGAAAGAGGGGGCATTGGTCCTCTGGGAGAGGAGATCGGCAGGTGGGTCCCCAGGGTGGGATTCAGGTGTGCCGTAGCCAGGCCCGCCTCATCCTAACTGCCAGCTTTGGTGGCTTGTCACCACCAGCTGATGCCCATACACTGGCATGGCCTCTGCACACCTCCTGCTCTTCCAGGGATGTGGACGAGGCACAGAACGTCCGTGCAGGAAAGTGCTCAAGCTCCTCTCTGAAAGGTGGGGAGATGCGAGCAGAGAAGGGCAGCGACTGCCATGTCACACAGGCCATTGTGGTCAAGCTCTACAGTAACCCTCGCGGCCTTGTCACGCTGGGAGCTGCTCC